TGGCCGCTGAGAGGACTTGGGAACATTCACTTTTGGTGGTGACTTCGTTTTGGCGAATAAATAAAAATTCATAAGTTAACCTTCTAAAAATTGAAAACCAAATGAAATCTGAAGGACCAAACAACACATTGTTTTTTGTCTGAGAGGCTTCAGGGACTTCAGTTGCCTGTCGTGGGGCTCCTATCCTAACTTGGTTAATTTTACACTATTTTCAGTGGAGCTTAAATTAATTCAGTGCACCCCGAGGTTCAAATGCAGCCGGATGCGATTTTTGTTTTCGTAGGTTGGTGAGTCAAAAACATGAATTATTCATGATTTATTCATGAGACCTACTGCTTAGCTCATGATCCACTCCACGTGTACGTACGTACTGTACATGTTCATGTACATGTACGCTGTGGAGTACGAGTGTGTGTGCACCATAGTACTTTTAGCCTTAACCGCGATTCGATCACACCGCCGATGTGGATCATTATTTCTGCCCGTGCAATCGTAACGAACGCAAAAAGCTGAGAGCCAGTATTATTTATGTCAGAAAATGTGAAATGCTGAAAATTTTATTATGCATTTCTTTTATTCGCGTTGCAGTACAATATGAGTGGGCTATATACATGAACAGTACATGTACACATGATTTGTGTGAATGAACCGTGTATATGAAATGAAAACCACAATTCATTTACATATGTGCCTAATAATTGTGAATACGCTACAGCAAAGGACACGCAAACAGACTTCATCCCGTTCCCGTTTCCAAACCAGTTGCATCCAATGAAGCTCTTCCTGTTTTAATTAGCTCAGCATCTTACCATTTAATAAGCTGTTGTCAAGGATCGGGTTAAAAATACACTTAGGCTCTCCTCGTCAGATCTGAATATTCCAATATGCATAGCTGTTAAAATTCTCCTTTTTTTAATGGTGTGAGTGTAAAATATTGGATTTCATTTTCTGCACAGGATCGAACTTGATCAAACCATCAATCAAACAAAATACAGTGCACATAAACTTTTCAGAAACTGATGAGGACACTAAGTTTCTGGGACAATTGAGTTGAATTGAACAGATGGAAAGATGCTTGACTTGATTTTAGATTAAAATTGGAAAAAGAAATATAACTTTATGTGTACCACAATAAAGGCTAGTCGACTTCAAGGGACAGTACACAATTTTGCAACTATCTAAATGTAACTGAAAAAGTAATTTTGAAAACTTTATTAGATTCTAACCCTCAACATATGAAGCATTAAAACTTCAAGTGCTGAATACGCACAACTGACAATTATGAACCCTTTAACTAAACACAAAATTAATACGAAATGGAACCTCAGAGTATAAATGGTCAAATTTGTTGTGTATAGCATAAACAATTTTCCTGTACAAACTCATAAAGAACACTTCCTTATTAAAGTTGCAAATCACCAAACATATG